AAAAAAAAAAAATCTATATACAACACTTAAAACTATGATAAAACACTTAAGACTATGTACAGTAGGAAAAATAATAATTATACTCTTTTAAAAAATAAAATAATAAAAAAAAAATTGAGTTCTTCTTTAAAATGAGGTGTGTTTCTGCTAACAAAGAAAAAACAAAGCTGACAATATAAAATATCAGTGTCTTTAAATAATGATTAATATGTAGACTCATCATTGTCAAATGCTATAGGTACAGATTTAATTATATACCAATAAAAAATAATAATAATAAAAAAAAAAACAATAGATGCGGTCAGTGGCATTAACAGCCGGAAGATATTGTAATATCCCTAGTGAAGTTCATAGTATAGAATAGTACTATCGTTTGATGATGGCTAGAAATGTATAATATCGAAAGTTTAGCAAGTATCTGACTGTTTTTGGGATAGGAATTGGAATAGCATAGTATATACTGTAAACATTGTTCACCATTTCATTCATCCTCTTTATAATGAGCTATGATTTATAATTTATATTTCGTATTATTAATCTAACCTTCTTGATTTTGTTTTCACTTTTATCGTGTGGTCCAAAGCACTCACTTTAGTTTATTTTTAATATCTGGGTTTGGTATAATTCCCAAGATCTTGGTTCCGCCTCTATATTTGTAACACAATTTAGCCTATCTCAATGCGTCGATTTTTGAAACCATTTGAGTTAAAAACCTTCCATTTTATATATATATATATATATATATATATATATATATATATATATATATATAATTATTAAGCAATCGATGATATTTTCAAGTTCGTCAGAGCCTCTTGACAAATTTAACCTTGAGCCTTGAAAAAAACATTTGAGATAATAACTATCTCTTTGTGCCGATTCTGAGAACTCATTACCTCTTAATATATTTATTTGAGTGGAATCTTAAAAATATTTCTATACGATTGTAAATTTAATGAAATAAAATATTTCTTGTTAAAAAAAATCTAATGCGCACATCACAAATATTTCGCTAACCACTTTACTTTGAGGACAGAAATTTGGCTAATAACATAAAGTCATTGAAATGCATTTTTAATGGATCTAAACTTTATTGGCTTTATATTAACACTTTCTTCGTGAATTAATCTGTAATACATCTGTTGTAGTTTTGTAAGGATCTTAAATTTTAATAAATAAATAAGAAATAGTTCTTTACCGGAGAGAAAAATTCTCCTCAGAGTAACTGGAGCGATCTGGGATCAGAATACTAACGAATGGAGGAGAAAGACCAATAAAGAACCGCGTATACAAAATAGTCGATCAATATCACATGATATGAAGGAAAAGAGGTTAAGATGGGTGGGGCACGTTGCTCGGAGCTATCCGGAATCGTCTACACAACAATGAATATCTCAATAAAAGGCAAAATACCACGTAAAAGGAAATAAAGCAGATGGAGAGATAGAATCAAGAAACATGCAATAGAGCTAGATGCAGATCACTGGAAAGGTATAGGAATAGTTCAAGATAGGCAGAGATGTAAAAGGCTGATTAATGTGGCAAAAAATATACAATGTCTGTAATACCAACAGAAAGAAGAAAAAAGTCTAACATTGTTAGGAATCCACTTAAGTTAACAATGAATAGAATTATGTTCCATTTAGATAGGTCGTTTTTAAATAAACAATATGGAAATTATGAAATAAGTAAATTGTAAAAATAATCTTGTTGTAAAAAAAATGGTTCACTTACCAGTGAGAAAGACCAAAGATGAATAACCACAAAATATTTCTTGACTCTATAATCAGAAGTCTTTATCAAATTTTTACGTTTGCAACTACAGTTATCGCTGATCATCGTTGGCAAAATTACTTGATAATGAAGGCGGTGCAAGCAATTTTCTGATTATAAATTAAAAAATCGTATCCGGTCGATAAATTTTCGTAAATTGAAACCTTTTATATAAAAACTGCTTTTGAATGAGTTTTAAATTTTTATCTAAACTTGTATAATAATTTCAATAAAAATAAAATGTGATATTTAATAATTGACACGTGCGTTACTAGAAATGTATTTTGAATTGGTGGAACATAGCATAGCTATATCGTACATCGCTAACACTCAAAGGCAGTCCTTTTTTCTCTTTCTTTTACCTCCTACCTCATTGCCATAGAGGTAACTGCTATTCAAACCAGAGTGGGAAGATCGAGTTCATTACTTAGCTCCAACACGAATTAAATTTTATAACGCCTGTGCCGGATTCGAACTTACGCCATTAAACTCGAGAACGATATATCAGACAACGCTTTTATGCGCTACGCAGTTGAGTATTCTCAATAGATCCCAAAACAATGCTTATTTATGCTCTTATATCTTAGGATAAAATAAATAATTTGTTAAAAATTTGATTACAAAATCGATAAAAAAGATGGCCTACAAAAATATTGAGCCGTTTGTCGTTATGTCTGACAATTTGGTTCATATAGGTCACGCCAAACGGCTCAATATTTTTGAAGGTCACTTGTGTTCAAATTATTCTACGATTAAAGTAGAAAGCAAATGGATATTTACGAGTTTTTAATACCTAACTAAAGAGAGAAAGTTTGCCGATCTCCAGATTGATAACGACCTATTTTCAAGATTTTTCATAAATAAAATATTTGTAGGTTACGATGAGATGAAGCTATTTACGAAGTTTCAGGTGGATGTTAATAATTTGATATAAAAGGGTTCTGTACCACGGACTATAAATTAACCTTGTTTGTTTAAAGGGCCTACTGGAACTGGATGCACTAGCGGATCCAGGATTTAATTTTTTTTTTGGGGAGGGGCTTCAGCCCAAAAGATTTTTTTTCATATACATGTAACGATAATTAATTTGAAAAAAAAAGTAAGAAATTAACTACCTATATGAAATTACAGGAACAAGGATACTTTAAGAGACAGTTTTTAATATTTTTTTCTGTTAACATGGTTATATTTTACCATTTGAGGGAGGGGACTTCAGCCCGAAAGCTCCCCCCTGTAGATCCGCCTGTGGATAGATGTGTACCTAATAGAAGAAATTTGCAGCGATTTTAATAAGATTTCTTTTTTTCGTAGTCATTATTCTTCAGAATTGTATTGCAGAGGAATAAAATCAAGATGAATATCTCGGAAAAACTTTCCCTCGCTTAATGATTTAATAAAATAGATGAAAGAGACTGGGACTGACGCGTCGGAATGCGATCTTTCACCGAAACGCTAGTTGCATTTCCGCCTCCAGAGAGAGAGAAGGAAAAGAGAAAACGGGATTCATCCTAAATACGAGATCTCTCCATTTTTCTCTTATTTTAAAATGATCGACTCCAAACAGAAGGAAATTGAGGGCACGAGCTAAATAAGAGGGGAAAAAAAAAGTGGTGACTGTATCCGAAAGGTAAAACGGACACGCAAAGTGGACCTTGTAAGGCCAGGACACAGAGAGCAGGTAGTTAGCGTTTGGTCTCGCGATCTAGGCTGCACTTGTGACGAAATAGATCCACAAGGCCGTACGCCACTGTAGTTCTGTCAAGGAATTACTTTCTCTTAACTTCAATAAACTTCTGTATACGGTCATCTCACTACTAGCCAATTACGATTGCAGCGACTTAACATTTTCTTTGTGCATTCATGATTTTTTTTTTTTAATAGAACACATTACTGAAACATCACCACAACGCTAAAGTTCTCTAAGAGAAAAAGCTCATCGAAGAAAAGTTCAAGTGCATCAAATACCGTATCCAATGAATACCAACATTTTTAATGTAGGTCAGTTAAACCCAGGCGTGCCCATTCTTCCTGCACAAAATCGATGGCGCATGAAATCTCTCCTCTGAAGAAATTTTATTGCTTTTCTATTTTAAAAACAGCCCAAGTAGGATGTAGAATTAGAAAAATCCATGTTTTTTGTCCTGTTCTCTGGTTTGAAACTGTCAATTCATGATATTTGATTTCTTTTCAAAACCTCTTGTGACAAAAACCATTGTTGAAACCTGGAAAAGAGATCTACAGTAAATATCACTAGCGGATCCAGGATTTAATTTTTTTTTGGGGGGGGGGAAGCTTCAGCCCGAAGGATTTTTTTTTTCAAATATATAACGATAATTAATTTGAAAAAAAAGTGATTCTTGAAGTCCTATTAAATGTAATTACATGAACAATAATACTTTAAGAAATAGTTTTTAATATTTTTTTCTGTTAAAATATGGTTATATTTTACCATTTTGGGGGATCTTCAGTCCGAAAGACCTCCTCGTAAATCCGCCTGTGATACATATAGCAGAATCTAAGTAAGAATTAACATTAATACCGTTGAAATATCGAAAATCATATGAAGCTATTTAGGAAGCTCGCTCAGTTCTAAACAATGACTTCCAATGCTCATGATTTATTTTTATATTTTACGACGTTTTGGGAAATTTCGCCCATTTTCAAGTCAAGAATGGCATAATTGATTATGTACCCACAATGCAAAGAACATTATCGTAAAATACTAAATCCGCTTATCAATTTGAATAGTTTTTATATTATTTTTGGATTATCCTGAGAACTTTAAAGATTTTTTTTTATTTTAGAAAATGATATTTTAATTTAATATTTTTTAAAAGATAAAATAACAATTTTTAGTAGATTATATAATCATTTATGTCATTCTTGAAATGAAAATGAACAAAATTGCCAGAAATTTCGTCATATATAGAAATGAGATGAAATTTTTGTGAAGTAAAAAAATAGTTATTAAGAGTTAGTTCGATATAGTTTTATTCATCGAAATAATAAAACTATATCGAATAATATATACCCTTAATTTATTATTATATTGTATATGAAACTATACTTTTTTTTTATGCTTATTAAAGGATTTTTTTGTAAAATAATTATCCTTTATATTTCCAATCTTTTTTGGGGGGGATGAGGGGAGGGAAGCAAGATTGAATGATAAAAATTCCAACGTAGGAGGGAAGATCGTAAACGAAAGAGAGATGGGAACATCATGAATGAGACTGTGGATAGCAAGCCTGTTGCTGAGTGACGTCATGCGATCTGATTGGTCGTCGCTTCCCCCACCACCGCCCCCGAGCGGGGCCTCGCTCCCTCTGATCGTTAGTCGCGGGCAGGAAGGTTCTAGGCTCGTGTCGGGCGAGGACTTGTGTGACTGTCACCGTATCACCTACATCTCACGTCAGCACTCCATATATATATACATACATTTATATATATATACATTACGTATATATACTATAGATCATTATTAAGAAAAGAATAATTTTTGAAAAATAAATTTTTTTTTTTCATTCAATTTTACTTAACAAAAAAAGTATTTAAAAAAAATAATAGTGTTAAATAGACTTTTTAAAAAGTGAGGTTTACGAGTGTATATCAGTGCAGCATCCAGGACATCCTCAACCGCAGAGTTTGCGAAAAAGTTTCGAAAAAGTGAACAAGTGCCTAATCCCCTTAAACGGCGAGATCTCATTTCACATTCTGGAGCCGAACACGCAGCCTCTGGGGAGTTCGAATTTGGCGAAAATTGAGTCGAAAAATGTAAGTATTTTTTTTTTCAAATAAAAACAGAATTTATTCACTCGCTTTTGTTTGTTAAAAGTGATTCAAAAGTTTTAATTTAAAGTGATTCTTTTTTTCCTTTTTATAGTCTCGATTAATAACTATTAAAAAAAAAATTATTCTCATTTTCGAATTAATGTGAGTCGAAAAATTCATAAAAATACGAATATTATAAAAAATAGTTGTTTTTCGAATATTTTATTTGGAACCTAATTTACTCTTTAGAACCGTTCTATAAATGACCTTTGTCCGTTCTAGTATTCGCTTGAGAATGCTCTCTCAACTGGGTCTCCTTGACTTCTAGCGTTCGTCTTTCCTTCATCCAATATCGTCAAACTAAATATTATTTTTATTTTATTTTATTTTTTTTAATTAATAATTTATATAACTGAATAATAATCATAAACAAAAAATAATAATAATAATCGTTAGCGTATTTATAGAGATATATATTGCCAATTTAGTACAGTAAAAAGTCAGTATTTTTTATGGAGCTGAATTTTTAAGAAAGTTTTTATGAATTAGATACTTATTTATTGATATAAAAAATACAATAGGTGCACTAAAATGATACTAAGTATTATTGTGCAAGAAATATAATTACAAAAATAGCCTTTTATAAAAAATTTTATTAATTTATTAAATGATTTCAAAAAATAGAATAATAATAATAATAAAAAAAAACCAAAAAAAAAAAAACCATAAAGCTCTAGAAAAACTATATTCTTTTGCGTCCTGTTATAATGAATTGCCAAAATTAGTCGTTAATTCTTATGCATTATTTTTTTCTCTTTTTTAAAATCGTTCAATAATACACCTATAAATATTACATAATTATTTTTTTTATACATTATTAAATTTTTATTGTTGGTTTTGACATGAAACTTTTGAACTTTTCCGATTTAGTTTCAAATCCCTGAAAGCCGTTGGTTGTATGGTATCTCATCCTTCCCCCTCCATATCTTGAATGGGGTTGCACGTGTGAAAACACGTGTTGAACCCGCTCCGATTGCACAATTTAACGTATTTAGCGTGTGAGAAATATTTTCTATCGGTTATTACATATAGGAATTGTAAAATTTTCAATTAATTTATTATATATAATATTCAAAAATATATTTTTTTTTTTTCGTTAAGAATTAAGTTTTATTGTGCAAAAATGATAATGGACTCTAACTAATAAATAATACTACGATGCGTATTTAATAATTCGAAGGTAAAATCGATTTTGTGTAATTATGAAATCAATCGATCAACGAATTTTCCGCTACTTTGTTTCTAATAATGGAACGTGTGACGTATTTTTCGTATCGTCTCTTCAGTCTCATTGCCTTTCCAACCAAGTTTTATTTATTTAAACTACAATTATACAAAATAATACTGTATTTTATTGTATAATTTATTTCTGATGTATGGGTCATATTTGTTTGATTTTCTTAAGTTCGATTAGAGCTGGATTTAAGATTAACATTGTAAATTAATTTTACTTGTAAAAATATTTAATTTTTTAATTTTTCGTCTTTATAAAATTGATAGTCATAAATAAACCTTTTTTTAAAAAAAATGTGTGTATTATGAACTTAATATTATTATCACTTGATTATTGTAATGCATACTATACTATACTATACTATAATGTATACGATAGATTTATATGCATTTTTCTCATATATTACACACTTTATGGCATAAAGATTTCTCGTGAATTTCTGTTAAAATATACGAATTTTCCACTAGTGGAATATATATATTTCTAATAATGGACTGTGTTATGCACTCTTCTTATCTTACTATCATTCCCGTTGCTTTAGAGAATTTATTTATTTTTTGTTTAAAATATAATCATACAAAATTATACTATATTTTATTGTATAATATATATCTGATGTATGCATTGAATTTTGCACATTTTTTTTTAGAAATGTATAATTTAGTATTTCCTTGATTTTCTGAAGTTCAACAAGAGCTGAATTTGATATGATTTTTGATAACATGATAATGTCGACAATTTTTTTATGATTATGCTAGATCAAGAGAGAAACACTATATTTTTATATAAAATATAAAAATTGCTGCCCAATTATATTGGGTTACTGTATACACAGCATACTCGTTAATCCGTAGGACAATAAATGAACTTATATATAATTATACAGAAGTGGTTAGTTTATATTAGTAAAATAGATATACATGTACATTCTTTTTTCTTCCTTTATTTTTTCATGCTTTTTTCAAACATTTAATTTTCCTTTTTTTCCCATTTAATTTCCCTTTCTCTCACTTCTCTCTCTTTATCTATCTTTTTTTTCAATTTTTCATTAAATAATGGAATTATTCGTGAAAAGTTTTCTTAAATATTTTATTATTTTTATGATCCTATTAGTATCACTTAATTTCAGTAATATATATTGCGGTAGATTTCTGACTGAATTTCTCAAATTATATGAGATTTTTAAATTATTTTACGTACTGTATGTTAGTGATTTTGTGTAAATTTCTGTTAAAATTATGAATTTTCCCTTGGTATGAAACCAGTTGTATGTGAAAGGCGTTCAAGTTGAGGATGTCGTGAACAATACATACAAGGCCATTGAAACACCAATCTAGGAATAGGCAGTCCCTCGACTCAGTCAGTACAATTTACCATTTACCATTTATTGAGCTTCAGTCTGCTATAGATATTCGAAAATAACTTCAAATGGTAATCCTATTTATTTTTTCTGACTTTACACATTGTATCCCGGTTAATGTTGACTTAAAAAAGATTAGTTATCAATGACGTTACTAGTTTCTGATCCGCCATCAAACGGTAGTTTGTGGGTATCAAAATGGATTTCTCAAAAATGTTTTCTACATCTGATAATTCAAAATTAATATGTTTTTGTGTTAATTAATGTTAATTTGTGAATAATTTTAATTTATGTTAATTTGTGAATAATTTTAAATAAGTTGCCATTTTGGATGAAATGACTCACAAGTTCAAAAATTCGGTACTATACAAGTGTCACTCCAACACGATAGATGGACTCAAGATCATATGAACACACTTTTAGTTGATACCAAACCTAGTAAAATGCTTTTCTCTTTTTACATATTTTTTTATTTCCAACACAAACGAATAAAACAGAATAAATCATTTCAGAGATATAAATATTTAATTATTCATGTATCAGATTTATATATCATTGGTTTATTGCAAAAGTCATCAAATACCTTTTAATAAAATTAAATTACTCAGCGCTTTGATGAATTTACACTCTGTGAAATTAGAACATTATTTATTGTTTTTATATATAAAAGAGTTTGTATTTTTTTTTTTTTTATAGTCTTGATTTTCCTATGTTCCACTATAGCTGATTTGAAAAAAAATATTATGCACTTATCGTGTTTTAGCATTTCCAATTTTGGTCGAAATTCCCAAAAAGTTACTTAAAAGTTTTTCTCCATCGAAAATGTTTTACAATAAGTCGACGATATATCTGTTATAAATCTTGAAACAATAAGCTACATCTAGACGTCATATAGTATAATATAATATGAAATACTTTAAACGATATTTATAGATTATTACAGAAAAATATATTTGTGTAATGAATACTGATTTTATTAGGGAGTTATTTCTAGTGGAGATTACATAGTGATTTTAGTAAACGTTATTGTAAAAAATTAAGCTCCTTTATAAAGTTATCTATTTTTATTGGTCAACAAAAATACGTAAAAGATAGTAATTTAGTTTATTTTTAATTTAATCATGATTATTTTATTTACTATTATTTTAATTGAATTCTCACCTTCATAACTTATAATTTGAAGTTATAGTGCTCAATAATACTAAAAAGTGACTCATTATTTACATCACTCATTTACTCATTATTATATAGTCATTATTTTCGACAATCGGGAACAAAAAAATATTTATTATCATCTTGTTATAGTCATTATTCTACCTGCTTTATTATACTTTAATGTTCACTTATCTACTTCATTTTATTTTAAGTTTTTTTTTTTTTTTACCTACATTGTTTATGTTTTTCATACCAATTTTTATCTGTTTCTTGTCTCTGCCCCTCGATTCGAAACCTCGGAAAATGTTAAAATAAATGTTATTTATTTTTTCTCAATTTAATTTTTGACTGATCACCCCAACTATCCTCTTCATTATTCACTACAGTCAACTATCAACATACTATTAAAAAATTATTTAATTCGGTGTGTAATATACTACCTAAATGTTTATTACAAATGTCAAAATTAAATTGTTTTTATTCTTCTGTTAATACGAGCCTTAAACATTAGAGATAAGTCGGTTCATACAATTATCTATATTCTTAACTAGAAAAGTTTGATGACCTAACCTAACCCGTCTAGACACACACACACTGCTATTTTTTAAATTTAACGGACATTGTGATCATGTGATTTTGCACCAATCCGTCATGTTAAACTGAAACGTTTTTATCACCAATCATCGTTCGTCATTTCAGCTTTTTATCAAACAATGTCTTATTAACATAATATTCAATTATAATTACAGATAACCGGGATTATTTAACCTTTATTTCGTCACGTCGACGATCTCAACTCAATTCTTTTCAAACGAGGATAAAAGAAAAGAAAAAAATGCCCATAGAAAGAAAGTGTTTTCGCGTCAGCATTAACGTATCCGTGCAACAATGTGTAACTTTCTAGAATACCGAGTAAATGCGAAAGAGATAGCACTGCGGTCGGAGTTCGAGAGGGAAAAAAATCGATTTATTTCCAATGCCTCATGAATCTTATATATCTACGTAATACCAATTCCATTCTGTTCCATTGAAATTGCTGAATTTAAATTTTAATTGTATTCAAATCGTTCATAGAATTCAACTGAATTATTTCACATGAAAGTATTCTATTTTCCATTGACCTTTTTTTTTTTTGTATATTAAAAAAAATCTTACCTCAGTGATAGAATATAATTTATATGTTT